ATCCCCCAAAGAGGTGCTTCTATAACATGTCGTTTTACAAAGAGATTTCTAATGGTCAAACTAGTTTTTTGTCGTTATTGGTTACGTTTAACTGCTTTAACACACTTAAAATCGTGTCTTTCTAAATATAAAAGGGATTGTAATTAGGCCTAACAACAGCAGAATCACATCTGTGATGATATTTGGGTGGGAAAGCACTCTTGGGTGAGTGATGAAATTTATACAAATAACTCATAACACACACACAAACCTAATATGGCACATATAGTTCTATACAGGTATATACTCTGTATATTGTTCCACATCTATATCTATTATGAATCAAAACATAAAGATCCATGTAGTGTATGAACCTACACTGTAAAAAGTTTTTTTTTTTCAAGATTTGTTAACTCAACATTGTTTCTTTTGTCAAATCAACTTAATTTATTTAGTTCAGATAACTTATTATTTTGAGTTTCTGATTATTAAATTAATCCCCTTCATTGTATTTTATTAAATTTTCATTACATTTTTTTATTTTTTGTTTTTTTGTTTAATTGTGTCTGTATATACATTGTCTTTTTGTATACTTCTAGTTTTATGACTGTTGTATTGCTGTAATTTTTAACTCTTTTTTTTCTAGTTGAGCCTAATAACATCTGGCAAGGGACTACCAATGAAAACCTTTGGGCTAATTTGGCTACATTTACATTTAAGAATGTTTATTAATGTACACTGTCCCTTTTCTAAATAAATAAATAAATATTAACTCACTTTTTAACTTAAAATTTTAAGGCAACCAGGTTACTTACTTTTTAATTACTTAAAACAACAATATTTTTTACAGTTTAGCTGTGCTAATAAACTGCCGTTCTTGCAGTGTTAGAAGCACATCCAGATTTTGCAGAGTTAAAACATATTTTGTTGATCCTAAAACAACATTCCTGTTCGAAAATGTAACCCTAATCATCCCTACCCCTAAACCTATCCCTACACGTTATCCCTAAAATCAGAAGGAAACGATGGGTGAATAGCACTGATGTAGAAGCACCTAACCATGGTTGTAAGCCTAAACTTGACATAAACTGTAAACTTCTCCCTCAAATCTTATTAGTTGATTGAAATGTTGTTCAAGGATAAACAAAGATGTTGATCCAGGAACATGTTTTACATGGTGAAATCAGGTTATGCGTGTCAGAAACCATGGAAAATAATACTGTAGCAAGGAATGTAAGGAATTCGGGTCAATTAGACGTTATTCAGGAAACATTATCTTGTACTTAAATCCATAATGTTGATTGTCCCATTCAATTCAAAGCAAAAATTTAAGCATGAATAGATTTACACAGAAATAATAAGGTAAACCATCTCCTTAGGATATATGTGGAGGTTACCCCCCACCCACCCCCCAGGTGTCTCATTAGAGGAAACCGACAAAGACAAAAACAGACACAGGGGAAGTGAAAGACAGGACGTAAAAGGGAAAGACAGTGTTATACTGCACTGCAGGGTTAAGAGAAAACAAAAAGAAACAATGCTAGATAATAGGAAGAAAATGGAGTGGGTAAGAAATTTAAAAGGAGATAGAGAGGGAGGCTAAACAGAAACAGGAGATATGCAGAGACAAGTGAATATATGCATAAGAGAGATTGCATTTGCAAGATTGCTTGTGCATGAGCAACCTAATATAATCTACGTTTGAACCTTTCAGGCTCTACCGAACATCACGTCTGCTCTGCGTCGGCCTCTTGATTCACACTCCAGGTTTCATTAAAGCCCATTTAGACTCTGCACCATCTCACACTGCAGCATCGTGATCCACGCGCTAACTCACGTCACAGCTCTGTTTGAGCGGATCAGGGTAGCGTGACTTTATTCAACATGGCGTCTACGTTGTTATAGCGCACAAAACTGCTCACGACAGGATTGAGACAGAGAGAGATAGCGAACCCTGGATTCGCAGCATGTGTCAGCAGAGCAACCTGAGGTCGGGAATAAACACTCGCTCCTCCCAAACAATCAAAACATCTCTCTGAGAAGGGAATGGAAGAGGGTGGGGGAGGTTTATGTCTGTCTGACTGCGGAAATACTATGCGGTAATGCATGTGATGTGCAATATATATATATACAGTAGATATAAATATGCAGGTAGCATCTTATTTTTGCTGCAATGCAACAGCTTGGCAGTGAGAGGTCAGAAAGAAAGAGAGAGTGAGACAGGGCTGATAGTCATTTCCCAGAATGCATCAGAGCAGCACGAGAGAGGGGAAATTGTGTGTATAATGTGGATGCTTGCAGGGATGCTGTAAATAAGTGCTTGGTAAAGCCTCTGGACAGGTTTAGCCTGTGGTTCTGTATTGCTACTTTAAAATGTACTTTCAGAAGTTAGCGGTCCAAACACATGCTTAAGCCTAAGTATTAAACTGTGGGCGCAGATTGTTAGCGCTTAGACATACAACGATATTTCAAATTATATGGCTGTTTGAGGAGAGGTGTGCTATTAATGTTCTAAGCAATCTGACTCAATTTTTGCCTGTTGAACAATAAAACAAAAAAACGGACAACACGCACCTACATTTTCGCAAAACTCCGAAAACGTGCCTATAGTAGCCTATACAAACAATTCACTGCAGTTTCCAGTTGAACACTTGAGGCAGTAAAACACCAACATTTATTTCCTTGTCACATAAATTATGATTAAAGGGGCAGATTATTGATCAAATAAAGAAATATTTTTTAGAAATACCTCAGAAATACCAGCCCGTTCTCATCCTTTAACGTCATATAGAACGCTATATGCAAAAACGGCGCTATACTACGCACATGGCACCCTTTATCGTTAATATAACACGCGAACCCAAGACATTATAAATCCTTTAGCGTGAATATGACACGCACACCCTACCCCACACCTAAACTTAGCCCTCACAGCGCATGTTATATTAACGATAACGGGTGCCATGTGCGTAGTATAGCGCCGTTTTGTCATATAGCGTTCTATATGACGTTAAAGGATGAGAATGCGTTGGAAATACCTGCGAAATACCTCAAAATGATTTGTAAGCTAACATAGTTACATGAATTGTAAACTAGCATGGTTGCTTCCGCCAATTTTAGCTTTAGAGTTTTTCTTTTGGTAACATTATCATGGTAGGTAGAGTTTACTGTACTGTAGATGGTACATTACTTTCAAACATGACAGTATTTACCTTTTAGCGCCACTAATCGGACATTTAATTTCCGAACTGCCAAAAAACACACAACAGGCAAAATAATAAAACATAGCCAGATGTACGTTAATCTGAACTCGCTTTTAGCGCCACTTACTCTACATTTTTCTCTGAAAGTGTCGCAAAACGTGTAAAGCCCGAAACACACCAAGCCTACGCCGACGAACTAGCGCTGATGAAAGCCGACTGTGTTGTCGTCTCTCGTCGGGGTAAAAAGCTGCACATGAACACACCGAGAGAACTACAGGCGACTGTCAGCTATAATGTGTGTTCTACGCCTGCATGTAATGAGCCAACTGTCTTTTTCTACAGATAAATTAGTCTATATTCGTCATTCAAAAAGGAAAACCGACGCTGCCGGCTGCAGATAAACACACCGTAAACAAAGCAGCGAGTGCTTACCGTTTTGAATATCAGTCCTGCTAAACGCTTTCTTTATTCCACTATTAGAACAGCCTTTTATCTTTACCATTTAGACTTCTTTGCTTGCTGTTTTGCTTTTATTCTTGTACACTGACTTATTCACTAAGCTGAACAGCCAATCAGAGTTCCCTCTTTCCCCGATTTTCAGCCAACGGCACGGAACCGTGCGGAACACACCGATGAAACTTAGTCGGCCAACCGTCGGCTTGGTGTGTTCCGGACTTAAGAATCAATGTAATAAAATGTTGCAGTTCCCCAATGTGCCTGGGTTGGATAAATCCCATAGACTAACACTGAAGTAACCAACCCAAAACATGCCCGCACACACCGCATAGCGCCAAATTGGGCGTCCCACACAACATCCTTCATGATGGTGAGTTTAAGGCCATGTTTTTAGCACTAGGTATTTTTGGCACCGTTTATAACACTGGATGTTCTTCTACTTTGTCTTTAGAGTATTCTGCTTGCAGAATGTTAATGCAGTCCCTGTCTTGGCTAATACAACTGCAGATGGTCAGCAGAACACAATAGTAATGAATCAACCATGAGACTGTTTGTTTTACTCTTCCTGAGAGGGTACATCTGTATTTCAATTAAGTAAGATCAGACAGCGTCGACTCTGCTCTCTACTTGTCCTGGCTTGGGCGTCTGCCAGCTAAAGAGGAAGATGAACCGGCTTTAAGAGTTTAATAACACGCAGGGAACCAAAACGAAGAGAGATCTCTTTCTTCTCCTTAGTAGCCACCAAACCTTCTTGAACCAAACCATATCTGATGTTTTCAATCTTTTTTATCATTCAATGGCAAAAATGGTTGTCTGGGTTGCGTTAACTTTCATAACATAAGCTGTAATTTACTGTATTGGCTAGGGATAATAGCAAGTGGGAAGCAGAAACATGCAGTGTTTTTTTTTCTGACAGAATTGACCTTAAAGTGAAACAACGCTCTTTTGAAACAGGTTTGTTTGGGGAGGCCTTGAAAACCGAATGCGTCATGTAAAGATTAATGCTTTGTGTTTTAGCTTGGGGTGTCTCAGACAGTGGTGGGAGTGAAGTCCTGTAGCATGAAAACTGAGGCATTTAATAGTTTTGCGTGGCTTTTGAGGTGTCGCCAAGGGCTAAGCAGCAGATATGATTACCTTAACCCCCCAAATAAGTCTCTCCATCTCTAAAGAGCGTGTGTGTTAGAGGTCTCATGGTGAAGAACAACATCTGAGCTCAAAACACCTTAAATGTGCACAACGTCAACTAATATCTCTTCTTGTTCATACTGGAAGTTAACAAATCCAAGATGTGTTACTAAAGGCCATCTGCATCATAGTTTGTTCATACACACACACACTCTCATACACGCACTGTCCCCTCACCTCCTCCCACTGGTGGATGTATCTGATGAGGCGCGAAAGCCTGAGAAGACGGAGCAAGCTGAGGATTTTGGTGAAGCGCACGATACGCAGCGCTCGGGCAGTCTTGTAGACCTCTGAATCGAAGCCTTTCTCCACTATTAGAAAGATATAATCCACCGGGATGGAGGACAGGAAGTCTACCACGAACCAACTCTTCAGGTAGTTCATCTTAATGACCTTTGGGTCCAGGATGATCTCCGAGCTCTCCTCGTTCACAATTCCCGTTCGGAAGTTCATGACGAGGTCCACCAGGAAGATGGTGTCCGAGGCCACGTTGAACACGAGCCAGGTGGTGGTGGTTTGCTCGGAAAAGAAGGTAATTCCCACAGGAATGATGATTAGATTCCCCATCATCATGATGAGCATTATCAAGTCCCAGTAGAACCTGCGGAGGAGATAAAAAGTGATATGTTAATGTGGGCAAAACCGTTTCTCTACGCAGCGTACGCAGGGTTGTGCAACATTCAGAATTGAACAATTGGTTTCCTTTCAGTTCATGAATGTGAATTTGAGTCGACTTGGCCACACCCCATAGGAGGTTGAATTGGAATATGAATCAGAATGACAGTAAGAAGAATTGACTGAACTGCAATTCAACACAGTAAAATGCATTCTGGGAAGTGTTTTCTACCCTGGTCCACAAAACGAAATGTATTAAATATAATGATACACAAATATACACTACCATTCAAAAGCTTGGGGTCAGTACAGACCCCAAAATGTTTGCTGGCATTTCAAAATATCAACAAGGCCTCTAAATCATCACACTTTTTCCACAATTCTACATTATTTTTGCTACCTCAATTCAAACTCGATTTTAAAAAGGCATTCTCTTTTCGGTTCTCAATTGCGCAAGAACCCCCCAGCTTAGATCGGCATGAATTTCCCAAATTTCCTGATTTGGATACATCATCATTCCATTCTAAAGATGAGCATCTAAAACACAACATTTGCTTTTTTCTTCAGCATGAATTTTTGTATGGTTCCAACGTTTGGTCAAGATTTGTTATCAAAACATTTTTTCTATTGTCAAATCAACTTAAATATTTTTATTTAGTTGAGATAACTTATTATTTTGAGTTTCTGATGATCAAATCAATCTCCTTCATTGTATCGACTCACTTTTTCCAGTTCAATCAACTCAAAATTTTAAGGCAACCAGGTTACTTCATTTTTTAAGTTAAACCAACAATATTTTTTTTACAGTGTACCTGATCTATCAAAGCTTTACCCATGAATTGACTTTACAACCCTTCAAAAGCACTTGCACATTCCCTCTCATCCCGACTTTATTCCCAATAGCAGAAAAACGCTAGCCCTTTTCAGCAAGAAGATGATGTAGCAAGACTAGCCAGATTAAATCCCTGCTCTTTTCCGCTGGAATGCCCTCATTCCGACGGCCCTCAGATATTTGTGATGTTTCTGTGGGTTCTGTCTAACACACTTCTTTCAGCCTGCAGTACGCACTCGATGCACTACAGCTCATTTCCCTGTCGCTTTTGATATCACCGCCAACACTTCCTGCTGGATTGCCGCCCTGTGACAGCGCAGCACGGCTCGTGCTTTGCTCTCTGGATGAGGAGGCAAAGAGCCACAGGACCGAAAATGTAAGAGGGAGATTGTAACATGAGAGGGTTTCCCTTTCTTATGTGAGTGTTGTGTGTTTACAACCGTCTGTGTTTGAGATTCTGCTTTGCTTGTACAATACGCAGTAAGATAATTAAAGGTACAGGATGTAATTGCTGAGCCAGCAGCATATGCACCCTCAGGAATTAGCCTGTGTTTTGAAAACATGTGAATGGAGCCACCATAGGAGTGAATAGAATCGCGGGGGCAGTTTTGAAGGTGTTTGTTGATGCAGTACTACCGACTACCTGCTGGGCCCAACAATTATACCATGCGCACTTTATTAATGTGTTGTGCTAACCAGCTACACTTTATGATATCAAAAAATGATATGTTGGCTTTAATTCTTTTTTTTTTTTTTTTTGTCAACAGGTTCCACGTAATTGGTTTATGTTAAACAAACATGTAACTGGAATTAAGTCAGTTTAAAGTAGTCTCAAAGTGATTTTTTTAAAGGCTTCTGACATGATTCAGGTATTTTTTATATTCATTCATCCAATACTATTTCATTTATTTGAAGTGACGCATAATTAAATTGATAGACTAGCTAGCTATTTGTTAGTAGCACATATTAGCATCTTGACTGCTAAGATTAACATGCTCACTCAACCAAACAGTTAATACAAATTAAATCAGTCCACAGCCAAACAAAATGCTCCACTTTTCTCCACTGTAATTTAAATGGTTCTAATTCAAATGTAATTGAACATTAAACACAATTACACACTATCAAGTCTTCCCCTTTTCTCATTTTTTCAAAAATAAAAAGCATAAAATAACACTTCATTTTAACATTTATTCTCTCTTAATTCAACTATATGCATCAATCATGTAATCCCACACAAACAGATTAAGTCAACTTATTTTTTACATATATTTAAGCAGATTGAACACAATCAAATTAAGTTCGGGCAAAATGGCAGTTGACTCGCACTATACTGCCCCCCTCTGGATGTAAGATTTTTTTACTTAACATAAATGGTTTGTGTTTATGCAACACAGATTCTGTTGAGACATAATTACGTTGACCTTAAGTCAAAAAACACAATTATTATAAGTAAACTAAATATAAAGATATTATGTAAAGACAATCGTCCTCCTTCATTTTTTTGAAACTAACGCCCTAGCTGACTAGTTATATAACACACTTCTTACAGGGACAATCACCTTAGGTTAGATGTCTTGATCAAGTGCACATTTGGGATGAATTCATCGATTGTTCCATTAGGAGTTTGAACCAGCAGACTAATATTTTGGTTAAACAAAATTGGCAGATATTTAGCCATTTTGAGATTATTGGCAAGAAGCATGAAATCTTACTTTTGATCTAAAAGTCACTTTGGATAGGTAATGCACAAATTGTTTTCACAATTTTAAAAATAAAATAATTTTATTCAGCTTCTATACCGTAAAGCTCTCACTTTGTGCATGTTTTATGGGAACTTTCCATAGACATAATGATTTTTATACTGTACAAACATATTCTGTCCCCTAACACTAACCCTGACCCTAAACCAACCCATCACAGAAAACTTTCTGCCTTTTTACATTTTCAAAAAAAAAAACATTTGTAACTTTCTGTTTTATAAGATTTATAAGCTGTTTTCCTCACGGGGACCAAAACATTTCTCCACATGGCCACACACACACACCATTTTGGCATAGATTTTTTTAAAGAAACTGCTACTTTTATTCATCAATGGAGCAATCATTTGATAAAAAATACCATAAATTCTGAAAATTCAGCTTTGTCATCACAGGAATATATTTTAAAAATATATTAAAATAGAGCACAGTTTTATTATTGTAATATTATTTCACAATAGTACTGTATTTTTCAAATAAACACAACTTTAATCATAAGAGACTTCAATTGAAAACTTTTAAAAACAGCAGTGTATGGACATCCGAAACGTAAAAATACTGGCATTATCAACTGTCAGCATTGGCCATTGAAGAACCCTTTTCAAAAATAATGTAAAAGGTTTACAGTAAATATTGAATAGATAGATTTCTTGTAAAACGTAATTCGTAATATTCTTGAAATTTTCTTCATTCTCCCAATTCACCAGAGCATTAATGCGAGAGATTTTCAGTTGCTTGGCAGAAGATGAAGCACACAGCTCATACAGCGAGAAAAATCGCATTATGATTTCAAACCTTCAATGTTATGTAACAACTAAGACGCCCAGTGTTAAATAGACATGCAAAGAATTGAAGGACAAAACAACAGCATTTGGACTGACTGCTTATTTAATTGATTCCAAGTAAGCATAATTATTCTGAGATTAATTTTCAGTTTTAAAAAATATATATTCCCATTTCATTTATTTATTCCTACAATTGAATCATCATCCTTGATGTAAATTCCCTCTTACTGATAATGCTGTCATAATCACCCAGTCCTTGACAGGACCCTGTCACCGTGGGCTGTTTGCTCTACATGGTCAAGGAGATGCTTCTGATAAATAACGAAACATCAGTCAGCCTCCATTTTCATGTCTTGCAGCATTTGTCTGCCTTGGCACACCAGACATGTCCCTGAAATGGCTACAGACTCTGCAATGCACATTATAAATTCCAGTCGATAAATGAAAGTTGTGCTAAGATGTCTGTTTAACTCAGGTTAAAGACTTCCATTGTTGTTCGAAAGTGCAAATATAATGTTTGACAACAAGCCAAACCAAACACAAGTAAAGTAATTAGCAAACATTGCTATGTTGGCGGTATTACTCATGCCACCTAATGTGAAGAAATCTTCCTCAGCACAAAGTGAAAAATAGCCCGTTTTTATTGTCTGCCGTGTGCAGACATGAGTCAGCTCTCTCAACACACTCTGATCGGAGTCCAGCAGACAATAGAAGAGGTTTTGGTAACACTTTACCTAAAGCCTTTATTTATAATGCATTATAAAAGTATTTTTAACGTAATGTTGTAATGCTCCTTATAATGCATTATATGTGGTCTCATGAATAATTCAAACCACAGTTATACACTTTTAGAAAGCAATGCGTTAAAATACGACAAAACCAATTTCAGATGCAACACGGAATCTGTGAATATTATAATTAGTGCTGGGCAAAGATTAATCGCATTTAATCGCATCCAAAATAAAGGTTTGTGTTTACATATTATATGTCTGTGTACTGTGTATAATTATTTTGCATATATAAATACACACATATGCATGTATATATATATATATATATATATATATATATATATATTATGTATAAATATATGCAAATATTTCTTAAATATATACTGTACATGCATATGTGTGTATTTATATAAACAAAATAATTATACACAGTACACACACACATAATATGTAAACACAAACATTTATTTTGGATGCGATTAATCGTTGCCGAGCACTAATTATATATTTTTTTCTTTGGTTATATAATGCAGTATAAAGGCTTTAAGTAAAGTGTTGCAGAGATTTTTTGCAATGCTGCAATGTTCAGAGGTCAGCGTATACACACACACACACACACACACACATGCTGTAATTGCGTTAATGTAGCTATTGTGTCTTGTAAAGTCCAAAGCCAGACGTATTTTGACGGGCGCCGGGCTGGCCTAGAGAACCACACAAAATGTCCTGGCCGCTGATAACGGCATACATCCATGAACTAAAATAGATGCTTTCAAGAATCCTATCTCATGCTAAAAACCCCTGGCTGGTGCCTCCGATGTGGCCGACGCACTTGGCTGTAATGGAGCTGAGCGAATGAGAAAAGCTCTCGGCCTTGC